CAGCTTGGCTCCTTAAATGTTTAAACACCAGCTAATTTCAAGACGCTGGCGTCACGTGGGTCACCCGCAGTGTAAGACGCTTGAAGCTCAAGATGTTTGGTTGACGGTTAGACGTTCGTTCGAACATTTGATTTTAGCATGGAATACGCTTTATATATTTCTCTGTTCACGCTCCACTTCATCTGCCAGTACCACGCTTCCGCCAATCCCCGCCTTGAAGCAATGATTGACGGAGGGTGGGCGTGGTCAGCTCGGAATGCATTTTCAAATTTAATTTTGCTACACATATCCCACGGCGTCATGATGAAAACGCAGTCCTAAGTGTTCTAACTGTTAGTCTAAATGCATTTAGGACAAATAGCATTTAAATGATCATTATGCTACCCTTTCTGCTTGGACATGTTACACATATCAAATCAATTTGTGTTATACATTTTCATTTTCATTTCGCAACTTATAAAGCATTCAAATTTGCATGCAATTTACATATTAAGACTACTGTTGGAAATGGCTAATGTAAATTATATCATTTAATTTTACTTTTACTTTTGCACCAAACTTTGCACGCATGGGTAATGGAAAATGTAAATTTAAATACAGAAATACAATGCCATTTTGAATATTGCGTTGCCATTTTGCATATTAAATTGAATTTCGCTACCTATATGCTTCCATAGTATTTGACGTACCGTAAACTCTAGTGTGAAGGCGCACGACTCACCGTTGCTTTGTTTCACGACTCACACACATGCAGAGAGAGAGAGAGAGTTGACACGCTACATGTAAACTATATTCTTTGTTGTATTTTCCTGTCAAAATAACACAGGAAGAACTGCCGGGTTCTCCGGTAGTGGGCGGAACAAATGCGCAAATGGCAATCTCATTGGCTGGCGCTCACCTATTATCGTCCCTGTTTTGATTTCAGCAAATCAGTTCGGGCGAACGCACACAACCTGATTAATATTCATGAATCCAGCAGCTCATTAATCCTTAGTGCGTTTCAGTGTTTCCCCTGCCATTATTTTAGGGGGTCGGCCCTAAAATGCTCGTGACGCTTCCGGTGATATTAACGTCTGCCATCTCACTAATGAGGACATAAATACATGAACAACATCTCCAGAACTGCTCTGAGAGTCACTTCATGAGCATTTTACTGTTTCATTTGAGTAAAACTATCCTCATATCATATACACACAGAAATGTAATGGTATTCACGGCAACCCGTCAAAATAAAAGTTTGGTTTAACTTGAGGGCATTGGCAGAAATATATTACTATTGTTGAGTAGAATGTACGTAACAGACTTGATTAATAAAATGTAATTTAACCATTAAAAAGGAGTCCAGAAAAAAAAATAACGGAATCTACCCTCCCCACCCCCCCAAAGCCGTAAACCTAGGGGAAACACAGCGTTTTATATCGTTCTTATTAGCAGAATTCGTATCATTATTATCTTATCAGTATTTTTGTAATTTTTTTTTTTACAGAAACTGAAAGACCAAAATAGCACCACCACCAGTCCTAAGTTCAGTTAAATGACTAATATGCATTTATACATGGTTATCAAGTTTTAATTCTAATTACTAAAGTTCTATCATTAAATAATACTTGATGATCATATTATAATGCTTGACTGACTGATGTTAAGAGTGTACTTTCAGATATTTAAAAAACTGTGCCATTTTACAAACATTTATTATACATATATAATATATATCAGTCTGGCGACGAGTAAACTAAACAATTTACTAGCCAATGGCGATTCAATTTCCAAGGTGTCCATAGAGGGTTGATTTTATATGTATATTGCATGTTTTTACTTTAAAATATGTATTTTATGTAATGCTGCCTTTTAGGAATGAGACTTTTATGCAATCCTAAATCAAAAGACAAAAAAAATGTAATATGTCCTTGAAGATTATATCACTTTGGTAAATCATGAAGCTTTTAATTGAATGAATTCATACAGATGAAAACTGTTATTGATATAGCAGCGAAGAGTTACTAAAAAAAGTCTCTAGGCACTAAAATCGGAGTAAGAATACCTTTCATACACATGCTCAAGCTAATCATCTGTATCATCGGCTGGTTCTGCCAAATGGCCAGAAAAAAGCCATCAAGGGAATTCCTTGAAAAGCAGCCAGGAAAAATGAACACTGTCCACACATAGGGTGGAGATGGGCCAGACCGGGTTCAGGTGCCCAGAGATGCTCAGCTACTGTTGACTCGAGTCCCTGAACTAGTGGACATTGAAGAACCAGAATAAAGAACAAGGCTGAGATGTGCTTTTTTTTTTTTTACTTTTCTGAAAGATTGTTAGCATAAGGACGAGCGGAAGGAAAATCTTATTGGCCGCCGTCTGGCCTGTCACCATAATGCACTTTAACTCTCTGCGTTGGCTGACACTCCCACTTCTCTGATGCCAAAAGCTGCCAGCCAGACCCCGACGCTGCCAGGCATCAGAATAACCCCTGTGAGTCCATCTCTCATTCACTCACCCACAAGCCCCAACCGAGTCACATATACAGACAGACAGCGAGACAAAAGCCTGGCTACCCTCAACAGGAAGAACGACGCAGCTTCAGTCCACTCTTTTTCCAGAACTTGCCATTTGTAATTTGTCACAGCAACAGCAGCTTGCCTTGGCTTGAGGTAACGATTACAAATGCTACCGACATTAAAGGCTGTTCCACCCCGCCTGAGAGGAACATGACCACCCGAATATGAAGACGATATGGGACAGACAGGAGACGTCCACAATAAGAGGTTCAACACATGACCACGTTAATCCCAGTGAAGGGGGGTAGAAAGATTAAAAGGCCTTTTTGAAAAGGAGTAGATTAAACAGAAGGACAGGCAAACACTGCTGGCTCCTGGTCTCCCAAGACACACTCACCACCCGCATCACGTTTTGTTATAAAACACAAAACAGACACAAAAGTGGCAGACTGGATTTCTCTCAGGTCACTGCTATGAGACAGATTATCAGTCAAGCACGGTAAAAATACAAGCAGGTCACATGGAAGCCAACAGGCAAACGACAAAACAACAAGTCTCTGAAGAGTTGCTGTAATGCTGTTGTCAAAGATCCAGCTTGGAAACCATGAATGAATGAAACATGCATATCAACAACTATATATTTCAAGATAATCTTTCCTTACTTGAGAAGTGGAGGGACAAAACTGAAGTTTACAACTTGCCTTTCTAAAATCACATTAAATAAACAGATTTATAATTCAATTAAGCTATTTTGGTTTGAGATTTGTCTTCATGTATACGTATATAGCTAAATTAGTAGCCTAAAGCTGGATCAAGCAAGTTAAAAAAGGACAAAAACAATACAACTGAGCCGATAATGGAAGTAATAGCTGGATAAACAGCTCATTAATATTAAATAGTAATAATATAAGCAGTAATAAGCAAAAAAAGTTAATATATTTTTCTCTACATAGAGACAGCTTTATCAAGACAGTATTAACGTTATGCTAGTTCACTTGTAAACATGCAATAAAATATATTTACAATGGCAGCACTATTTTATGTCAAAATACCACTACAGTTATTGCGGTTGCATTAAAACTGGTAAACACAAATTTTACGAAGAAAGACTCCATATTAGTATAGTTTATAATAATAAAATAATTATAATATAATATAAATTAATAAAAAATAGTTTATAATAATAAAGGTTTAATAGCAGCAAATGCAATTAACCTACTGTAGACCACAGCCACAAGGCAGAAGGTGTAAAATAGCCAGCATGTTAATGCAATGATATTCATCTACAGCATATGATCACTGCTGCTGCTGCTCATAAATCCTATTGCATAAAAAAGGGCAATTAATTAGCCTTGGAAGAAGACAGATTCCCGCTTCAGGAGCCCATCAGGAACCCCCACCCTCAGAGCAGACCTGTGCAATGCCCTCAGCCTTCAGTCAGGAACACTAGTGCATGAAAATGCATGTTCCTCATTTCCTCTAATAAAAGCCGCAGACTGTAGTGACTCCCGGCCAGAGAAGCACAGGACAAAAACACTCTCCTTTGTGTTTCTGCTGCACGCACGACTTGCCTACTGCAAAAGCTGGCTAGCGCATTAGCAGAATTCGTATCATTATTATCTTATCAGTATTTTTGTAATTTTTTTTTTTACAGAAACTGAAAGACCAAAATAGCACCACCACCAGTCCTAAGTTCAGTTAAATGACTAATATGCATTTATACATGGTTATCAAGTTTTAATTCTAATTACTAAAGTTCTATCATTAAATAATACTTGATTATCATATTATAATGCTTGACTGACTGATGTTAAGAGTGTACTTTCAGATATTTAAAAAACTGTGCCATTTTACAAACATTTATTATACATATATAATATATATCAGTCTGGCAACGAGTAAACTAAACATTTTACTAGCCAATGGCGATTCAATTTCCAAGGTGTCCATAGAGGGTTGATTTTATATGTATATTGCATGTTTTTACTTTAAAATATGTATTTTATGTAATGCTGCCTTTTAGGAATGAGACTTTTATGCAATCCTAAATCAAAAGACAAAAAAAATGTAATATGTCCTTGAAGATTATATCACTTTGGTAAATCATGAAGCTTTTAATTGAATGAATTCATACAGATGAAAACTGTTATTGATATAGCAGCGAAGAGTTACTAAAAAAAGTCTCTAGGCACTAAAATCGGAGTAAGAATACCTTTCATACACATGCTCAAGCTAATCATCTGTATCATCGGCTGGTTCTGCCAAATGGCCAGAAAAAAGCCATCAAGGGAATTCCTTGAAAAGCAGCCAGGAAAAATGAACACTGTCCACACATAGGGTGGAGATGGGCCAGACCGGGTTCAGGTGCCCAGAGATGCTCAGCTACTGTTGACTCGAGTCCCTGAACTAGTGGACATTGAAGAACCAGAATAAAGAACAAGGCTGAGATGTGCTTTTTTTTTTTTTACTTTTCTGAAAGATTGTTAGCATAAGGACGAGCGGAAGGAAAATCTTATTGGCCGCCGTCTGGCCTGTCACCATAATGCACTTTAACTCTCTGCGTTGGCTGACACTCCCACTTCTCTGATGCCAAAAGCTGCCAGCCAGACCCCGACGCTGCCAGGCATCAGAATAACCCCTGTGAGTCCATCTCTCATTCACTCACCCACAAGCCCCAACCGAGTCACATATACAGACAGACAGCGAGACAAAAGCCTGGCTACCCTCAACAGGAAGAACGACGCAGCTTCAGTCCACTCTTTTTCCAGAACTTGCCATTTGTAATTTGTCACAGCAACAGCAGCTTGCCTTGGCTTGAGGTAACGATTACAAATGCTACCGACATTAAAGGCTGTTCCACCCCGCCTGAGAGGAACATGACCACCCGAATATGAAGACGATATGGGACAGACAGGAGACGTCCACAATAAGAGGTTCAACACATGACCACGTTAATCCCAGTGAAGGGGGGTAGAAAGATTAAAAGGCCTTTTTGAAAAGGAGTAGATTAAACAGAAGGACAGGCAAACACTGCTGGCTCCTGGTCTCCCAAGACACACTCACCACCCGCATCACGTTTTGTTATAAAACACAAAACAGACACAAAAGTGGCAGACTGGATTTCTCTCAGGTCACTGCTATGAGACAGATTATCAGTCAAGCACGGTAAAAATACAAGCAGGTCACATGGAAGCCAACAGGCAAACGACAAAACAACAAGTCTCTGAAGAGTTGCTGTAATGCTGTTGTCAAAGATCCAGCTTGGAAACCATGAATGAATGAAACATGCATATCAACAACTATATATTTCAAGATAATCTTTCCTTACTTGAGAAGTGGAGGGACAAAACTGAAGTTTACAACTTGCCTTTCTAAAATCACATTAAATAAACAGATTTATAATTCAATTAAGCTATTTTGGTTTGAGATTTGTCTTCATGTATACGTATATAGCTAAATTAGTAGCCTAAAGCTGGATCAAGCAAGTTAAAAAAGGACAAAAACAATACAACTGAGCCGATAATGGAAGTAATAGCTGGATAAACAGCTCATTAATATTAAATAGTAATAATATAAGCAGTAATAAGCAAAAAAAGTTAATATATTTTTCTCTACATAGAGACAGCTTTATCAAGACAGTATTAACGTTATGCTAGTTCACTTGTAAACATGCAATAAAATATATTTACAATGGCAGCACTATTTTATGTCAAAATACCACTACAGTTATTGCGGTTGCATTAAAACTGGTAAACACAAATTTTACGAAGAAAGACTCCATATTAGTATAGTTTATAATAATAAAATAATTATAATATAATATAAATTAATAAAAAATAGTTTATAATAATAAAGGTTTAATAGCAGCAAATGCAATTAACCTACTGTAGACCACAGCCACAAGGCAGAAGGTGTAAAATAGCCAGCATGTTAATGCAATGATATTCATCTACAGCATATGATCACTGCTGCTGCTGCTCATAAATCCTATTGCATAAAAAAGGGCAATTAATTAGCCTTGGAAGAAGACAGATTCCCGCTTCAGGAGCCCATCAGGAACCCCCACCCTCAGAGCAGACCTGTGCAATGCCCTCAGCCTTCAGTCAGGAACACTAGTGCATGAAAATGCATGTTCCTCATTTCCTCTAATAAAAGCCGCAGACTGTAGTGACTCCCGGCCAGAGAAACACAGGACAAAAACACTCTCCTTTGTGTTTCTGCTGCACGCACGACTTGCCTACTGCAAAAGCTGGCTAGCGCACGCATCCAGCCCTTTAGGCTGAGCTGATGTCCCCAAATACCGATGTAGCTTTAATATGCGTGGCCAGCTCGAGTCAGATAGCTGAGAGGAGGGAGGAGGGAGGGGGTTATATGGGTCCGATCCGCTGCTTTCACGCGCCCCAAGTGTCCACATTCAGTTGGCAATGGTGGATTTCTCTAAGCGCGTGCTTACAAAAGTTGACGTCACTCCATGCAACAGCAAAAGCGTTTCTTACTCTACCTGATTCTCCATAGTTCGCCGGGCTGATGAAGGTCCTGTTTATTTACAGAAGGCTTTTGAACGGCTGCTCCCGACTCCTCATTGTGTGTCAATTCCAGCCCAAAACCGGAAACTAGACGGTTCCCCTCCCCGCTCCGGACCTCTGGCATGCACCCAAAACAGAAAGCGCTTGTGGCCAATCGGATGCCGTATAGGATGCGCTTTACGCTGGCCAGCCATTCGCGAAGCGCAGTGGGCGGGACTTCCCACGGGCTGCCTGTACTGGTAGGTAATAATTAGAGATTAGCCGAACCGATAGGATGCTTTTGTTTTTGCAGTCTAGTAGCGCTGCTTAGCATTCTGTTATTTATCCATGAATCATTTTCAATTTCGTCTTTGAAAACAAAGCATGTTACACACAGCTGTGTTGTGATTGGTTGGTTGAGGGCATGCCTCTGTTGTCTGTGTTTAATTAGAGGGATTACAATAAATAATTAATGCTTAGTGATTTTACTTGACATTTAAAGGCACTCATTTAATATATGGGAGACTGGGGCTAGTTGTCACACTTTTTACTGTAGTATACAGGGTATTTTTGGCACTAATAAAGTCTTGGCTACAAGCTAGCCTAATAAAATTTCCAGTTATTGCTAAGGAAAAATACAGTTGATTTAACACGTTGACCCAATAGGCAAAAAGTTGTCACAATGGACTTTAATAGGTTCATTTAAATTGTAACACAATTATTAAATGCTCAAAAATAAAATGTCGTGATATTAGAATTTTACTTTGGAGGACATCATTCACAAAAAAAAGTTTTAGTTAAACTTTCTTGAGAAAAAAAAAGCAATCACATTATTGTCACGAAAGGGTTTTTGGTACAGTAGTCAGCCTAAAAAATGAACATCACTTACAAACACTAATATATCAAAAGAGTCGAACCACATGTCATACTTCCAATCACAACTGTAAAGATATAGGCTGAAGAAAGTGTTGCAGTTGATAAAGCAGCTCAACTGCATGCACTACACCTAGGATAAACATGTGATGGCATTGTGTCAGAAAGAACAGAAAGTATCAATAACCTGGAGATGAACCCATTTCTTTGTTTTCGATATAGAGCACACAACAAGCAGCAGCATCATAAGTTTAGGTTCTTGCTCGTTTTTGACTATTATTTTGGTATGTGTCGCATGGTGGTTAAATAAATAAATCACATCAAATGCATGTCCCAGCAATCATAATTTATATAAAAAATAATCCACAAAACATTAGTTTCATGTCATATGTATTTTAAAGAGTGATGTCATTGAACGGTACACCATCATCAATATCCACAATTTCATACACTGAGGTGGAGGTCGGAAGTTAAAACACAATATATAGATTTAGAATACATAAAGTTTTTTAACGAAACATACAGTAAAATAACAAGATTTAAATATGCCACACCAAAATGAACATAATCCCAGTTATTACATTTGTAAACAAACGTCTGCACCATTTGCTGTGAGAAAATCATTTCAGAAAGTGACATCTCACATCAAACAGGCAGCATGATTTTCTTCCTCTGAACAGACTAGGAATCGAACAATGACATTTTCTTTTACAATTAGTATTAGTACAAATCACACTTATGAATCGTTGCTTATGACAATTTTCTCAGTTAAAAGCCTCGGATTCATATTAGGAAAATCAAGTAAAATACAGAATGTTTTGTACATACATTCAATCTTGTCACAACAGTGCAAATATTCATTTTCACATAACAACAGCATGTTGTTTGTAAAGATGAGAATATGAACAGTCACTTGCATAGAAACATTCACACACTCACACTCTCTCTCACACACACACTTCAGTTTCAGGTTCTGTGAGAAATATGAAGAAAGTTCCAGAAATGGCAACAATTCAGCACAGCATTCGTTTCATATAACTTTCTCTTCAGAGTTCACATAATGTACAGTGACAGATCTAGGATCAGCTCCTTCCTGCCCATATAAATGGATTCACCATTTTGGAAATGTAAAGGCTGGTCCTAAATCAGCGTTACACCCAGCTTTATATATGAGGTTGTGTCTGTTCATCTTGTCATGCCTGCTAGCATCTTTTCTGTGTCTTTGTGGTGCTTTTGAGGACTATGTAAGGAAGCCCAATGGACCAGTTATTCCGTGGCCAGTACTGCAGGTCGGGTAGGGAATAAGGGATCTCCAGACTAGCGTCCAGGTAAGCGACCAAAGTACTAGCATAAGCGGTGGCCACCACAATCAGAATATGCCTGAACAGAGGGGTAGAGGAAAACAGTATCTGGATAAGCATGACAGTCCAAAAGTCTGGACAATGAGGTTTAACCCTGTAAAACAAATTTTAAAAAGTCACTTTTTTTTTTATTTAACAGTTTATCGAACCTTTAAATGAAACACGCTAAAAAAAACTATAACTTATATAGTATGATATAAAGAATATGCAGCTGCGAGTAGAGAAGAAAAAACATCTCAGTTTTATTCTGATGCCCAAAAATATGGAATTTGGTGCAGTTGCTGAGATTTACATGGCCAAAAAGTATGATTAGATCTTTATAAATGTATAGCAGTCTACTTGAATGCATTTAAAATGTCAGTTTTCACTACCTATCTCCCAATAATATGTCTTATTAAGCTGATGTTTAAATGTTTAGTTTTATAATAAGCTCTGTAGTTTTTATTGTGGGGGCAAAACATAATGCAATGCAATGATGACAGAGATGACAAACATTTCTTAAAAGCCAGTTGTGGTATCATATTTGATACATTTTAACACACACACACACACACACACATATAATCAAGTAAACCTAAGTTCCTTGAGTCCAGTAAGTGTTCCCCTTGAAATATTACTAACAATATGAAACTTGTTTACTTTATAAAAATCAGTAAAGATTTCACGTCACAGTAAAAAGACACATTGACCACAACCTTAAGGTGGACACTTTTACAATCATACCAAAAGGCCTTTTAATTGCTAAAAAAAAAAGTATAAACTATCAATCAGACAACAGAAGGCATATAGAAGATTGAGTACACAACAGTGATAATTTAGAGGTCTTCGAATTTTGCTTATCAAATATGATATCGTAGGCTTTAGGGTTAAAATGTGCTCAACATACAGCGGGATATCCTGGCTCACTCACCAGATACCATGCATATAACAGAAGTTCATTTTCTGCCAGAAGCTGCAGCCAATGCGATCGCTAATCCAGCAGGAGATAGCCAGAACCCACAGGCCAATGGACGCCCAGGCCAGACGCAGCACTCTCTCATCTGTGCAACTGTTGAGAAATAGATCCGTTTTGAATGAGGGTGAAAACAAGAAATAAAAACAGATCTTGTATAGTAGCCTTTATAGTCTTAGAGTGGAGAAACAGTAACTAAAGCAACATCTGAAAAAGCTTAAAGCAATGAATGCACACTTTACCTCCTTAATTCCACAAACAGAGAATAGAGGATATGGATGGCGAAGCAGTTGAGAGCGTAGGCATTGGCTGTAGGTTTGACAAAAGAGGACAGAGTGCTTATGACAGTGATGATCAGGACCATATGACAGAAGGATTTCCTGAAAAAGAACAAAACACAGAAAGACAGACCAAACTTTAGACTGATAGATAGTCTGGGGTGAAACAGATCTTTCTCCATTGACAGTCAAGTCTCTTATGCTCACCAAGGCTGCATTTATCTGATCAAAAATACAGGAAAAACTGTAACATTGTGAAATATTATTGCAATTTTAAATAACTTTTTTATTTGGATATATATTAAAACATAATTTATTCCTGTGATGCAAAGTTGCATTTTTTTGCATCATTACTCCTGTCTTCAGTGTCACATGATCCATCGGAAATCATTCTAAAATGCAGATTTTCTGCTCAATAAACATTTCTCATTATTATCAATAATGAAAACAGTTGCTGGTTAATATTTTGGAAACAGTGATGAATATTTTCAGGATTGACAATTTATTTAATATAAATAAATAAATCTATCTTTCTAAATATAATGAGCTATTAATTGCTATTTAAGAAAATACTGACCACCCCCCAACATTTTAACAGTAGACATCAACATTTTTCTAAGTTTAAATCTTAATTTAATCTAGATATCAACCATTTAAATATTAATATAAGGCTGGTTGGAGCCCACTGAGAAAGCTGTGGAAACCATCTCTCCCACAGTGAGATCAGAATATCATGCTGCAAGTTAAACAGGGTTACTTTTACACAAACTAAGGACTGTAAACAGATCCTTTAATTGCCCCTATTTTTACAGAACTGAAGACACAGTTTTTTTTAGAGGAGAGAAAAAGACTGCATACATGGTACAGAATTTGCTACCTGTCCTTAATAAAAGAGGGGAAGTGTCTGCGCGGGAACCACAGGGAGTAGCAAAGAGCCAAGACCCACAGGATTGACAGCTCATCCAGCATCTGGCCCATAAAACTCAGAGTCATGTGAAAATACATGGAGAAGAGACCTGAAGAGAGAGAAACAGACCATGGTCAAAAGGGATGCGAATACAATTAAAGTTGACTTTAATAAGTTAACATGTGTAAGGTCATGTAAATACCATAAAAGCTGATTTATTGAGGCAACAGCGTAAGTGGTTTAAGCAAAACGTGATTTTTGCATGTTTTCCCAATTTTCCTTTGCTTTGCTTTTAAACATTTATCTACATTGTCAGCTTATTCAGTGTGTGCATGTCCGACAGCATAGCCGTTTTGACAAATACAGGAGAAATGTTTTAAATTATAATTTTTTTATTATTACTTATAATGCAAATTTTTAATACTTTTTATTTATTTTAAAATGGAAACGTTTTCTTTTCATTTCTAGTCGACTGATTTGCATGTATGCAAACCCATTTTGTGAAAGTTACTAGCCTTTTGTAGCTTGCATATACACACTTGTTGGTTCATTTTGGCCAGTAACATACAAAAACTCAAGCTGACATTTCATTCATCCATTTAAATGAATTAAATATAATGAATCAGTAGATTTCAATTTGCTGGCTACAAATTTTACTTGGCTATTGAACAATACTGGCCTCTGCTGGATTCTTAATGCCACAACCCCTTACAGATTGAACAGTCACACTTACCTACAAAGACCATCATGAT